GAAGGAACGCTGCTCAAGAGCCTTTCCCTGGACACGCCGGGGCTTGAACTGGGGCCCTCTGGCAGGCGAGGGATGAGCAGTAAGTAACGCTGATGAGTCTGCCTTCTTCGACTGAGTCAGAGGATTATCTCGGTCTCGCTCAGTCTCAGTCTCGTCTCCCCTGCCTGGCAGCGGTGCTCCAGGGTCTGGGCGGGGGAAGGCGGCTGGCATGCAGCGGAGCCGATACGGCCCCCCAGGCCCTCCCGGGGCCCTTCTCTGGCCGAGCCACCCAAGCAGCTGCTGGGGGCAGCCCAAACAGAAAGGCGCCGCTGCACCGCAGTTGCCTCTGGGCCGGCGCTGGATCCGGGGGCGACTGGCATATCTGCGTGGGCGCGAGCCCAGGTGGGGGCCAAACGCCTGGAGCCGGCCCTGTGCCCGCCTCTGAAGTTAATTGGGAAAGCCAGGCCTTCGGGGAACGGTCTCAAGCTACCATCCAGCAGAAACTTTTGTTTCAGTTTGGACAAGGAGTTTTGCAATGTCGGCAAATGTGTCCCGTCCCCCCAATCTGTTTGGCGCTTCCTTGCGGCATCGTGCGTAGTACGGGAGTCGGTGTGGTGCAGAGGTTAGAGTGTCGGGCCTGGCTGGGGGAACAGGTTCGAATCCTCGCTCTGTCAGGGAAGCTTGCTGGGTGAACGTGAGCCAGTCACAGGCTCTCAGCCTAACCTACCTGACAGGGGTGTTTTTGTGAGGATAGAAAGGAGGAGAGAAGAATGCTGTCAGCCGCCGGGGGACGGAGAAAGGTGGGGTAGAAATTAAGTAAGTCAATAAATCTGGTATTGCAGGGAAAAGCCCCCTCCCCGTGGACACACACACTCCCAATCATCTGGAGGAAATTCGGAAGCAGGATTAGGGACATTTTGACTGGTTAACAAACCAAAGGCGACCTCTTTGGTGAAAAGAGGCCCCTATCTGACCCCAAACATTCCTCCCGAGGAATTTGCACATGAAGAGGAAAGGCCTTGAATGGATTCCCGACTTCTCATGACCTGGAGGAGGTCTGGTCACCTCTCCCACCCACCCACCCAGAGCAAAGTGATCCCTTTTGCAGGTCTTGCTCTTTTCCCCCCCAATCCTGTTTGGGGTCAGGAACCACAGGATGAGTTCAAATACATGATCCCCCAAGTAGGAAAGAGCAAGAGTCCAGGAGCGCCTTGAAGACTAACAACATCGGTGGCAGAGAAGGAGCTTTCATGGCTCTTTTCTACGGCTACAGACAGACTAACAGGGCGGCTACCCATCTCCATCTACGATCCCCCCCCCAGGAAGGTTTCGTATGCAAAAGAGGAACCTCCCCTGTGAGCTTAGCAAGCCGGATGGCAGGCCCGAATCCAACCAATAGAGCTCATTCCTTCACTGCCCAGCGCATGTTTGGCCTGGCCTTCCTTCATGTGGTTTCCCCTTCCTCCATTTCATCCTTATCACTAACCCTGTAAGATAGGTCAGGGAGAGAGAAAGGGGATCGGTTCATGGTCTCCCGGCAAGCTTCACGGCAGGGTAAGGATTCGAACCTG